CTGACAAACGGACTCACAATACTGACAAACGGACTCACAATACTGACAAACGGACTCACAATACTGACTAACTGACTCACAATACTGACTAACTGACTCGCAATACTGACAAACTGACTTGCAATACTGACAAACTGACTCACAATACTGACATGACTGACTCACAATACTGACAAACTGACTCACAATACTGACAAACGGACTCACTGTATTGACAAACTGACTCACAATACTAACAAAATGACTCACAAAACTGACAAACTGACTCACAAAACTGACAAACGGACTCACAATACTGACACACTGACTCACAATACTGACAAACTGACTCACAATACTGACAAACTGACTCACAATACTGACAAACTTACTCACAATACTGACATGACTGACTCACAATACTGACAAACTGACTCACAATACTGACAAACGGACTCACAATACTGACAAACGGACTCACAATACTGACTAACTGACTCACAATACTGACTAACTGACTCGCAATACTGACAAACTGACTTGCAATACTGACAAACTGACTCACAATACTGACATGACTGACTCACAATACTGACAAACTGACTCACAATACTGACTAACTGACTCACTCACTGTATTGACAAACGGACTCACAATACTGACAAACTGACTCACTCACTGTATTGACAAACTGAATCTCTGTATTGACAAACTGACTCTCTGTATTGACAAACTGACTCGCAATACCGACAAACTGACTCACTCACTGTATTGACAAACTGACTCTCTGTATTGACAAACTGACTCTCTGTATTGACAAACTGACTCTCTGTATTGACAAACTGACTCGCAATACCGACAAACTGACTCACAATACTGACAAACTGACTCACTCACTGTATTGACAAACTGACTCCCAATACTGACAAACTGACTCCCAATACTGACAAACTGACTCACAATACTGACAAACTGACTCGCAATACTGACAAACTGACTCACAATACTGACAAACTGACTCACAATACTGACAACAGTGCTTACATCGTCCACTTCTAGGGCTACTGGACTCGCTTCTTCCCCGTCTCACAACTGATCCGGGAACAGATCAGCTCTGGGGCCATCGGAGACGTGAAACTTGTCCAGGCCAACTTTTCTATCCCGATCGCGGAAGTTCCGCGGCTCAAGCAGCTTGATCTTGGGGGCGGTGCTCTCATGGACATTGGTCTGTACCCCTTTCAGGCGGCGAACATGGTCTTCAAGGGAAAGCCGCAGAGTATCAAGTCGGAACTCACGCTTAACGAACAAGGTCAGTCATTTTTTATAATAATATATAATAATAATAATAATAAATAGCATTTGTATAGCGGATATCCCCGCTCAACAGCTGGCTCTATGCGCTTTACACTTTATTATTACCCCAGCAGACCATAGAACACTCTGACACGTTCTCAGCTTCCCGGGAAGCATACAGTGCAAG